GGGACAGTGCCGGGAAGAGCCAGGAGGGATGGACAGACGGACAGGACTCACCTGGGATGTTGTGGATGGTTATAGCGAGGATCATCAGCAGAATCCGCCTCCAGCTGCTGCTGCTGGCCGTCGGGGCACCGTCCCTGGGCACAGGGAACGCCGGGGGGGTGTCTGGCAGGCTGGCCCCCGCACCCTTCCTCCGCTGATAGGGCTCCCCGTTCTCACCTTTGTCTAGGGGTACAAAAAACAGCCAGGTCAGCTGGGAGGGAGACAGACGGACAGCTGGGCATCCCCTGCCTCCCCTCCCAGAAGGAAAAAGCAGAGAGAAGGAAAAACACCGACCAGAGCAGGGATGAAGGCGTGTGCATCGCCCCCCCACCCCGTTCCCCTTTGTTTCAGATTAGGGTAGGGGGTTCCCCCCCACGCAGAATGCAGAGCCCACAGGCCAGGGAGATCCTGGGACAAAGCAGAAGTTCGTCCTCTGCCTCCTCGTGGGACACGTTCCCAGCCCTGTGCAGCTCCCCAGCATCATCCCTGGGTTCACACCCACCTGCAACCCCAAAGTCCCAATCTGGTGGAGACGAGCTCTGGGGTCGGTGCCTGATGAGGATGATGAGGACAGAGCTGCAGGGCAACAGCTGCCGAGACCCGCAGTGAGATCGTCCCCCCCACCAACCCCAAACCTGGCAGGTCTGTAGTTCCATTGTCTCTGCTGATGAAAGAAACCCCACTAACATTTCATTTTGATTTCGCTCCGGTCACAAAATGAGTGCACTGAGCCATATTTAGCAACTATTTGTTCTGCTACCAAAAGATTTGCTGCTGCCATTTGCTAAGACATCACCGGATAACCCCGGGCTTTCCCGGACCTCTGCTCCCAGCAGGACCATTACTATCAGCTCTATTTCAACCAGTTATTTAAAACCCAAGCCTCAATTAGGGCTGTGAGGGGTGGAATGAGCACCAGGCAGCACCATAATAAAGCCTACGCAAACCCAGACCTTCACTGCTCACCTTGAGCTTGAAAAGGTGAAGGGAAGCCAAGAAACGAGGAGCACGAACTCCTCAACCTTACACGGCAACAGCTACAGCTCTGTATTAAAGATGTGACATTTGGACAATATAACGCTCTCCTCCTGGATTTATATAATTCTCTTTCCTGTCCCTTGACCCACCCACTCCAAGATTTTTATTTTTTTTTGCAGACACGGCGTAAGGAGCTGTCTGAAACCACACTGACCAAACGCCAGTTGCTTCCCGTGCCATCGGAGGCAGGATGATGCCCGACCATCACATCACACATCGCACCACGTGCATTTTCAGCACCAATTAAGAACCTCAGCGTAGGAGGGCTCATGCAAATCGACACACGGGGTCACCTTGGGAAGGCAGAGGTGTCACGTAAAGGCATCCTGAAACGGACCTCGACACCAAAGAAAATCAAACCGAGAATTTAATATAGTTTTTGGTACCAAAAAAACAGGGCAAAGACTAAAACCCCACGTGGCAGCAGCAGGGCCGGACGGCTCCCAGCGGATTGCCCACGGCTGCACACCATGGCACCATGGCTCTTGCACCGTCCCCAGACGGTCCCACCGCAGCCGCTTGGCAAACAGAACGAGGTGCCACGCAGATAAACACTGCCGCTGTCGTTAGCCGTACGGAGCCAGACACTTTCTGTCCCCAAATCCTAGCCCAGCCAATAACATGTGGCAACATTTGATGGCAGAGCTTCATTCCAGCCCGCGGGGACAGAGATAAATATTTTTTTAAGCAATTGCAAAGACAACCAGATCCAGTGGAGCGGCTTTGCCCAACTCTCCGCAGGAAGGCTGGCACAGCAGACCCCTGGCAAAGGGGTAGCCAAGGCTAAAGCTACTTATAGATGGAATTCCCTTCTTCTGCCAGACCCCTGCCTTAGTTAATTGCTTGGCTCATGTGCCCCTGGCCCTGCAAACAGCATTATCCTCAGCTGACCCTGCCCTGGCCACCGATGCTGACCCATAGACCCACACTCAGCCGCCAGCAGCCCCATCACGACAGCGGGACGGACACAGGTTTGCACCATGGCACCATCCCCGTGCTGCCCCAGTGCTCCCAGCATCGCTTGCACTGCAGGACCACCTACATGAAAACCAGGGTGATGCGAGGACGCAGAAGGGTGCAGGAATCCTCCTCCAGGGTCAAGGGCTTTCCAGGGAAGAGGGAAAATGGATTACGTGCCATGTCGAGAAGAACACTTACACGGAAGTGACAAAACACCAGCGTTTCTCCCTTTACAGAAAGCAACTGGTGTAAAATAAAAGCACGAGCGACCACCACGCTGCGACAGCAGCGGCTCTTGGGGTGGTTTCTGCGAGGTGCAAATGGAAGGTGAATGCTGAACACAGAGGTTTCGGTGCCTGCTGGGGAAGCTTTGGTATTTGGGGAATATCAGTGACTTGGTTTTTCTTAAAGGAGGCCAAAAAAAGCTGCCTCTGACAGCGCAGCGGCACCTCCGCTGTGCTCTCACCCCACAGCACCAGCTCGGAGCGGCGTTACACCGGGCACGGCACTCCATCACTGACAATTCTCTGCAATTTTTTGTCTTTTTCTTGTTGTTCATGTCGTTACGTGGCCGAGTCCAGCCCACCCTTAGTGTTTCTGACTTGAAGACTGTGCTTAAAACCAAACCCAGCTGTCTGACTCAAGAGAAGCACGTGCCATCCAAGCAAGTACGAGCTTGTGTCCAACACATCTTCCTCTGCAACCTTCTAAGATCTTTCCCACCTACCCCAGCTCCATCCCGGGACCAGGCTCAGGCTGGAGCTTGCCTCCTCCCTGGCTTGATCCTGCCTCTGCTTCCAGCCACAGCAGGACATGTAACAATACACCAAGTTCCGGACTCATCCGGCACCCCACTGATGTGGCTGCCCCGGCCAAGTTCTTGACCACATCACCCTCATCTTCTCTGGGATAAACTAAACAAAACGAGCTTCTCCGGTCCCGCAGGACGACAGCGCTCACTGGTCACGGATCCTTGCGTGCAATGAGAAAGGGGAAGATGAATAATGTGTTTAACCCTTTGCTGGTCCACAGAGGACTTTGACCCTTTCCCAAAAGGAGCGAAAGTCATAGCACGGCTCCAGAGATCTGATCATTACAGCACAGTTGATGCCCATGTGCTCCCGGGCAGGGGACCGGCACGGGAGGCAGGACCTCACCCACAACCACGGGTGGAAACCTCAGATGTCTCAATTCTTGTCTCCACGGTTTAGGCAGAATGAGCCAAAAAAATCAAAACCTCCCAGCTCCTTTTCACTTGGCACTTAGTGGAACCCATAAACCAAATGTCATCAGCATTCCCAAAAATCTAACTTTAGGGCTCTAAACAAAACAAATCTGCTTTGGCATCTGCTCTGCTTGCAAGGACATTAATTCGTCCCCTGCCATTACACTCCTCTCTCTCTCCCTTTCGGCTGTTTCCTGGGAATTGCTGCTCTCCCCAGGCTGGCGGCAGGGAGGGGACCACCAGCAGTGGCACCATGCCCAGGATCGCTCGCTCTCCCCTCGGGACACACGCAGATCCCCCAGGAAGCGAAGAGCCACCTCCTGCTCCAGCTGGACCCAGCTGTCCAACGCGATCCTGGCGATGCGCTCACGCACGGAAACTCCCAGTGCTTTGAGCTGTTGGTTTATCTGGCTTTCCATTGCCTTATCCCAGTCGAACTTTCTCCTTATTGCCCTTGTCCCTGGATTCGATGGGTTCACCGTAAAGCCACGCGGACCCCCCGGACCCCTGCGGCACGGCAGAGCAAGGCTTTCACCGGCGTTTAAAGCATCAAAGCGAAGCCTTTCCAGTTCCCTCTTCCAGGCTTTGAGCTCAGCTCCCCCGACTCCTATTTGTAGGTGAATTTTCATGGAGAAAAAGCACGCTTGGCTGAACGCTTGGCCACGAGCTCAGGGGAGAGCCCAGAGAGGAGCTAAGAATGCTGCTGAGGGACCCAGGTGCACCTCGGGGCTGCCCGTACCTGCGGAAAACCAGATGCCCGAGAGCACCAGACACGAACATCCCACTTGGCTCACAGGCATCCGGCTTCCCTGGCTCCACAGAGGAGCGGAGCGATGGATGCAACGGCCAGTGTTCATCTCCTCATCCCGCAGAACTGGGGAAGTTTGAGCTATTCCCATTCTGTCGGGAATTCCCACGGCGTTTCGGCAGCGTTCCCGCCCCATTATCCAATTTCCAGAAGAAGATCCATTTCACAGCTCTCACTAACAAAAGCAAAATGCCCAGACCAGCTCCATGGCTTAACACGAGCCGTTCGTTCCCAGCACACAGGTGTCACTTCTATTAGACACCTTTTTGAATTATTATTTTACTTTACTTACAGGTTGTCTGCTTGGTACTATGAAAAAAACTTTGGATGAAAATTAGACTTATTACAAGCGTATTTGATGTGCCTCCGAGGACAGTGGAGACAAAGGACAGGGGGATGCCACGGTGCCCATGGGAGCCAGGAGCCCCGCTCCCCACCCTGCAAACGGGGGAAATCTGTGGGAAATGAGCAGAATAGATGCAGCTTTCACAGAGGAAGCGCAGAGAGTGGTTTAGATGGACAGTTTGAACACAAAATTGCCTCTCATACAAATTATCGGTGCATTAACAGAGGATAAAGGCAACACCAAAACCAGGGAGACAACCCCAGCGTAATTTTCCCAGTAGTGTCACATCTAACAGGGAGACTACAAACCACACACGGGTCAAGCGATGAGTTTTGCTGTGGGGAAAGGGAAAAAAAAATAAAAATATCTAATTACAGTGGACTGCTGATACCAGCTCACGGTGGACAGAGCACGGGAGGGGATTCGTGCGGCTGTCACACCAAATGCAGCACCCAAAGTGCTCCCAGCTTGAAAAGCTGCATCTTGCACAGGCTGAGGGGAACAAAACAATAATTATGGCTAAACACAGACTTGGCTGGAAATCAGGAAAGCCTCAATAGAAAATCGGAGTAGTGATAAGGGCAGAACAAGGGGTGGTTTTTAAAGAATAGCTGGCACAATCAGACAAGGGTACTCGCAAGAACGTTGCCAAGACAATTATGTGGCAAATAATTATCTGTGCCACATACATTATTTTAAATCTTGTTCACAAAAAGTCCTCTATATATTCTACTTGATTTATCATTATTGAATTTCTTAGTAAAGCTGCAGGGCAAAGATTCTGCCAAAAGTTTAATTACATATGT